GTGTAATTTGGCATGATGAAACTTTAACAACACTAGAACCAGTAAAAAATATACACAGCTCAATGAAAAATATGTGAATACTAGAAAATAACGTGTACTCTTTACTAACCTTAATATTTGGCCACAAAATCGCGTCTACATCGTCGCTTGACACCAAAAAAACTCAATGATTAGAGGACAGTCAACGTTCTCCTACTACCAAAATGGCTGCTTATACACCGAATGCAAATATGGCGGACCACTCGGGTGGCCCAGGACGAGTTGCACGAAGTCGAGGCTAGTTAGGCCTCCAGCGATTTTTCCCTGATGTTTTGATCGTCACGAATGGCTCCACGTGTGCTTACTGAGAATGATATTCCCGGAGCTTCTCTTGCCGGTAGAGCCCCAGCAGCATTAAAAAACGAAGAACTCCAATTTTGGCTAAAATGCAGACGAGATTCATTAAAGGGTTTAAAAACAAAAGCTGCTTTAGTGAAGAGGTAAGGTGCAAGATTGCTTCGAATTTACAACTTGTCAAATGTTTACACGTGCGAAGAACCCCTGAACTTAGACCATGCTGTAGCCTTCTAAACTAAGGAGATTACTTTATTATTTCCTCATTTCAAGGGTTGAAGAGTATATCAAAAAGGGCCTTGACCGAAATATTGTGGATCCAGATCCTCACAGCATTTACACAAAACGCAAGGAACACCAAAATGCAAGCAACGGCGACAGTTCGAAAACTACTTCCAGTTTGCAGCCGCTACCAAAGTACCCTTCGCAAGGCTGGTCCAGCAACTTAAAGCGAATGCCTTTTTTCTCTCGTGCTGAAATGAACAGTCACATCTCAAAGTCTGGTGAAAACGTAGACTCCAGAAACGGTCACTCTGTACCAACTAGCGTGCGAAAAGCCACAACGTTTCTTAACGACGAATATTTAAAGGCCTTGTCAGCAGCAAGCAACGATAACTATTTTTATTTCCATTGTCATTGCCACCACAGTTTTAGAAAAAATGATCCTCCGCACAACTTAAAGGTCGCGTTGTGTATTTTAAGTGGGGAGGTCATTGACGCCTCTTGCTCCTGTGTTGCTGGTCAGGTTGGGTACTGCAATCATATTCTAGCTCTTTTGCTCAAATTATGCAAGTTCACCTTATACGAATGCAAAAGTATTACTGACCTTAACAGTGAAGAGGACATGCAGCCAAAACGTAGCTGCACATCAAGTTTGCAGCAATGGCATCGCAAGGGCAGAGGAGACTCAATAAATCCACAGCCGGTTATGGAAGTTTTGGTAAACAAAACTTCCCTAGATCAAGACCAGCCATCAAAGTCTAGAGACCCTGGTGTTAAATGTCTACTATACGAGGCAAGGAAATCCCTGAAGAATCAGCAGACAGATGAATCCAAATTACTGGAGCATTTGAAGGAGATAAACCCCAAAATGGCCTTGGCACAAGTTATGACTCCAAGGTCAGAAACAACACCACTGTTGAAAACTAAGTTTGGTAAAAGTCCACAGCGGTCCTATTGCAGCTATCAACTATCTGTGACTGAAGATAACTTTAAAGTGTTCTGTGATATTTCATCTGTGCCCAGGTTAGACTCAGACAACTCTAATGACTTGCAAATAACTGAATATCCCAGATTCCCCCTCAGCCAATTAAATGAACAATTTGAAATACCAGCTGATATTTCTGGGGATGAGAGATCTTTACTAGAAAAACTAAAAGCAGATGAGAACAAAGTAAATGAAATTGAAAGAAAAACACGAGGTCAGTCAAACTGCCAAGAGTGGAAGGATGAAAGGAAATTGAGGTTCACTGCTTCAAACTTTGGCCTGATATGGGACAGGAAAAGGAACCATGAGACCCTAGTGAAGAATCTGCTGAACCCAAAACCCTTCACTTCAAGGTACACGAATCATGGTCTCAAATATGAGCCTATTGCATTGGAACAGTACCAGAAGTACATGATGTCAATTCGCAGGCCTGTACAGGTCTTTAAGTCAGGACTTGTCATAAGCTCTGATTCCCCATACTTAGGTGCCTCCCCCGATGGAAAGGTCATTGACCCCGGGTGTTCAAACCCTTTTGGACTCTCTGAAGTTAAGTGCCCTGAGACCAAATATCTAGTGACTCCTCTAGATGCATGTTCGGATAGTAATTTCTTTTTGGAAGAAGTGAACGGGATGCCAAAACTTAAGTGAACGCATAAGTACTTTACTCAAGTTCAGGGTTTGATGGGGGTAACTGGGGCCAGGTGGTGCGATTTTGTTGTCTACACCAGCAAAGGAATGAGTATCGAGCGCATCCCATTAGATGTTCAGTACTGGAATAATTTAAGGGAAACACTAAAGTTGTATTACTTCAGGCACTTTCTAGCTTTAGCAGCAAGAGAACCATTATAACAATACTGATGTTATTTAGTACTCCAATTTAACAAAACAGTAATGTTATGTTCCTGTTTAATACTGTCCATTATTTTGTACAAACAACAGTAGTTAGCCGCAGAAGGAGTAATAATTCTCTGTAAATATACATGACAATGCATATGATAAAAATCTTTACTCATGTTATTTAAGTGCTGGTATTTTTGAGCAAACCAAATTAGATTGTAAAACCTTGAAATAATTTTATCAATAAAATGTAGAGAATGTTAAAAAGTATGACAAAATGACAAAATATTTGTCCAAACAACTTATAATAATTATTGTTAGCTTTAGCCAGGGGTTTCCTATTTGAGGAAAATATACGAGACAGTTACACGCAGACTAGAAAACTTTACTTATCCTGATATAAGTGGATCCTGAGTATTGCAGAGGAATGCGCATACAGTCCACATCTGATTTACAACTCCGAATAAACTCAAAGGTACAACTCCTTCCCAGATCCAAACGTTTTTAATTTTGTTAATTGCCCTTTCCACATGAATTCTCACACTGGCAATTTGTTGAGTTCTGACCACATCCTCTGCTGACATCTGACTGTTGCCTCCAAGAAAGGGTGGGATGTTTAAACTTACACCCAGGGGTAAAATGTCTTGAATTTGAAAACCTTTGTCGGCCATCACTGAATCCCCATCATCAAATGCTTGGGACAGTAAACCACTTCGCAGCACAATTTCCCGATCAGAAATACTCCCAGTGTAAAGCTGGCTCATGAAGGTGATGGCCCCACTTGGGGAAATTCCAACAAGCCCCTTTAGTGTCACATGGTTCTTATATGAGCTGAAAAGCTCAGAGTTCAGAAGCAGACTACTAGGCATCTCACAAAAAACCTCAGTGCAGTCTATTACAATTCTTGTTGAGGGGAATTTCTCTTTGAAATCAGCTGGCATGGTTTTTTGAATAACTTCCTTAGATGGCCAAAAACAGACTTGACCAAATTTCAAGTACATAAAACTGATCCACGGTATAAACATTCTGCTTATAGTAGATTGTGCCACACCATAAAGATTGGCTAGATGTCGTTCAGAAAACCCTCTTCTTAATCGACACAAAACAATAAAAAATTCATCTACTGGCCTAATTTTTCGTCGGCGTCCTTTCTTTGCCGCTTGGACGTCTTCCTCCTCATTGGAGCTGTCTGAGTTGTAAAACTCCTCCGGGACGTCTGAGCTGCTCCGAGGGCAAATATTTTCACAGTCCTCGCCAGGATTCAAGAACTCATAAATGGCTGTGAAAGTGGCATGATTGGGAAGACCCGTGTAAAAACTAATATCGGCATCAGACTTGAAGCGATCGAGTCAAAATAAACGAGAAGAAATTTCTTCCTGCTGGCTGGCACTTTCAGCAAGCTTTCTCTTTAGTTCAGTGTTCTCGAGGCGAAGACTTGTTAACTCCTGTTGAGCTTGCAGAAGCTGGATCTCAAGTTCCTGAATTCGTTTTATTTGATCCATTTCGCTTGTTTGACATGCTGAATCTGGAATTCCTGAATCTACATGCACGGTTTCAGGAGCAGTCGAACCTTCATCGTTCGTTTCAGAACTCACCTCAGGTGTAAACAACTTTTTCTTCATAGGCACGAAAACCCTTTCGGTAGGTGCTTTTCTTTTTGTTGGAGTAGGAACAGACCAAGCAAACCGTGAAGGCACACCGCGTTCGGCAATATATTGTCGGCCATTTAAAGATGTCCTGAGATCCTCTCGTCTGAAGTGCAATGAACATACTTTTGTATCGGGTGTGATCTGCCACTGTTTTCCTTCATCTCGGCGGATCGCGTGAATCCACTGTTTTCTTCTTTCGGGTGATTTTGGAAACGCAAAAAACAACACTTTCTCTCCTGTTGGCGATTTAACCCCTTTCTGGTGACACTGAGGGACACAACAACCCGTAGGCATAGTAAAAACTTCGCTAAAACTTCGACAAGTGCAAGAGACACATTGCTGAATACGTGTTTTGTAAACAAGTTCGAGGCCTAACTAGCCTCGACTTCGCGCAACTCGTCCTGGGCCGCCCGAGTGGTCCGCCATATTTGCATTCGGTGTATGGCCGCAGTGGCACATGGAATTGGTGAGACAAGCGTCGCTGCCAGTTAAATGGGTTTTTTGGGAAAATAATTTCGAATTTGTTTTCTCAAAGTGCAACTTTACCTGTGTATTTATTTGGTTCTTTAATTGTCAATCCAGAATTAAATATATTACTATTTTTCAGCACTGAAAAAATTGTCAAGGATTTAGTTTGAATTTCATCAATCATGAGAACTTTAGGACACGCAGTTGACAAGTTGTTGAATGGTTCGAGGGTTAATTCACATGGGCACTCCACACTCCTCGTTTTCGGACCAGCTGGTCTTGTGGGTTTCATGAATTAATGGTTGTCTAGGTTTCAGTTTGAAAGAATCTTTGCCATCGAACTACGAGCCTTTTTATAAATCAAACAGTACACGAGGTATATTTGTATTAAATACCGACTGCCAGGATGTCCGTGAAACATCTAATGAGTGTCTGGAAAGAAATTATCCTGCAGTATATTATTGCTGACAGAAGGCATCAAACTCATGCTGTGGCTCGCAGTTTGAATGTTTGTCTACGGTATATACACTCAATTAAAAGGCTGTTTAAGTTGTCCAATCATTAAAAAAAGTATAGGTATTGTCTGTATCCAGATAGATTGATAAAAGCTTTGAAAATTGAGAATGATGAGTATATTTTAGTCAGGATAGCGTGATCATCACGCTAGACTTAGAAAGCATCTGTATCGTGGCATGTTACCCAATATTAGAAAAAATAAAGACACCTAAAAACTATTTCCAGTGAAAAATTATAATAAACGTTTGTTTCCTACCTTAAAGAACGCATTTCCTTGTTTAGCTTTTGTTTCGGAGAACTCGATAACTTAAGTCAAACAAAAGTACGAGACGCTACAGATTGCTCAACACCTCCGCTGTTCTGCAACATGACACCTTCAGTACTTTGAACCTGTCATGTCTGGTTGATCATAAAACATACGAAACCTATGAAACCAAGAAACCTATGAAACCACGAACCGCACGAAACCATAAAACCCACGACACCATGAAACCATGAAACCACGAAACTTATGAAGCTACAAAACCTGTAAAACGATGAAACCTATGAAACCATGAAACCATAAAACCTACAAAACCATAAAACCGACGAAACCATGAAACCTATGAAACCATGAAACCTATGAAACCATGAAACCTGTGAAACCACGAAACCTTTGAAACCACGAAACCACGAAACCATGAAACCTGCGAACCCTGTGAAACCTCGAAACCTGTGAAACCACGAAACCAGTGAAACCATGAAACTTATGAAACCACGAAACCATGAAACCACGAAACCTATGAAACCATGAAACTTCAGTATGAAACCTATGAAACCACGAAACCTATGAAACCACGAAACCTTTGAAACCACGAAACTACAAAACCATGAAACCTACGAACCCTGTGAAACCTCGAAACCTGTGAAACCATGAAACCAGTGAAACCATGAAACTTATGAAACCTCAAAACCTATGAAACCATGAAACTTATGAAACCACGAAACCTGTGAAACCACGAAACCTATGAAACCATGAANGAAACCATGAAACCACGAAACTTATGAAGCTAAAAAACCTGTAAAACGACGAAACCTATGAAACCATGAAACCATAAAACCTACGAAACCATAAAACCGACGAAACCATGAAACCTATGAAACCATGAAACCTATGAAACCACAAAACCTGTAAAACCACGAAACCTTTGAAACCACGAAACCACGAAACCATGAAACCTACGAACTCTGTGAAACCTTGAAACCTGTGAAACCACGAAACCAGTGAAACCATGAAACTTATGAAATCACGAAACCACAATACCTATGAAACCATGAAACTTCAGTATGAAACCTATGAAACCACGAAACCTATGAAACCAGGAAACCTTTGAAACCACGAAACTACGAAACCATGAAACCTACGAACCCTGTGAAACCTCGAAACCTGTGA